TTAACTTGTCAGTGGCTAGAACTGTTTATTATGCACTTTTTGAGTCGCACCTCAGATATGCCTTTCCACTCTGGGGTACGTGTTGTGCGACTCAATTTGACCGCATTTTCAGGCTCCAGAAGAGAGCTGTTCGGTATTCACTGGGACTAAACAGCAGAACTCATTGCCAGGACTTTTTTTTAAATAAAAATATTAACTCTTCCTTCTTTATTTATATTTGAATCCGTTTACCTAATACGTAAGCATGTATCAACTTCTCAAGAAAGGCCATCTCACACTTATTCACCCAGGAACACGGAGCAAGATCTTTATCTACCTACCCCACGCTCAGAGTTAGTTAAAAGTTCAATATTATACAACTCGAAAAAAAGGCACCTGCCATTTGAAATCAAATCCATAACATTATTTTTTTCATTTCGCAAAGCATTGTAATCTTATTTATTAGAGAAGGCTTTCTACGCCGTAAATGACTTATATTTTGATGATCGAATTTGATCTTGTAAACACTGGTCTAATATTTGCTATTACTATATTTACTATAAATATAGTAAATATTTTTGAATCTTATTTTTATTTTTTGACATTGTAAATATTTATAAATGTTTATTTTAAACAATAAGACTGATTTGTATATTTGTTTTGTATTCTTTTTTTTTTGTTTACTTTATCTTTGTCAAGAAATTGTAAATTTTTTTGACAATAAAGGCATTTATTTATTTATATATCTTAAAAGTTAATATACAAATTTATATAATGTAATGTAGCACTTTGCTTCGTATTTCTAGTACTGTCTTTGCAAACCAGCACTAAGAATATAATTTTATTTTCCACATTTTTTTATATAAAAAAGTGTCTATCAGATACATTGGAATTATGATTCTGGTTCAGGTATTAGATAAAAGACACGTGTTTATCTAGAAAAACGTACGAGTTTACAGCAACAAGCGGCAAACTAATCCGCGCTTATACCGAGCTGTAGAAACGTAATCCAAGATTAATATTCTTATTAAAAGTTTGGGCGTCGCTTTTCCAAAAAGACTTTACGGAAATTTCGTAATTCGAACGCGCTGCCAAATTTAATATTTAAGATCTATCCCCTGAAGTTCGCGAGCTACAGATTACCGACTCGTAATCCTAACAATGATTATTTAATGAACCGCCCAACCGTTTGGGCATTACGACATCGGACTAATAAATAACGACTAATTTGGCTGCTACGTAATATTAAATTATAAGCGGAAATTAATTACAGGTCCAAAGGAACAAACACGGGCTTCAGGTCTTTCTTAGTTTATATTTTCTGACAATATATTTTGTCTTTTTTTTGCTTTCATTTTTTACTTCTTTTAAAATTAACATTCAAAATAATTTTGATTAATAAATTATTCATATTTGTTTTTAATAAATTCATAGTTTTTAACATACAAGTGTTTTTCAAATTAGGTCTATCGCTTTTTTGATATTTGAAACATTACATTCACATAAATCTTAGTCGAGAATCAAAATATTTTATACAGTGTGGCGCCTCTCATACGCCGCGGAAGCTCCAAGGAGAACGGTAGTTTATATCGAAATGAAATTTTGGCAGCATATGTAGGTTAACTGAAGCATTTTATAAAAATATATAGAATTATACAGGGTGTCTCCAAAAAAGATTGTGTTTTTTCTAATGGAATACCCTATATATATTAATTGATTTTCGGATTCTACGAAAAAAATAAAGGCGAGTTTTATTAAAGGAGCATATACATAAAATCTAAGGATTTTGACATATCTCACATTTTGTGCAAATGAAGAGTAAATTTTAAATTTCGATAACAACTACCTCAATTTTAGTTGACTTTGTATAACCAGTATATTAAACCAAACCATTGTATGTTAAATGTAACCATTGTATGTTAAACCAAATTAAAATTTGACCCGGAAAGTTACACAGGGTGAGACAAAATTAATATGGAACGTTAGTCACTTTTAATAACAAGTCACTCCTTTATTTTAAATGGAACACCCAGTATATTTTCCAGTGTTTAATGGGGAATTTATATATCTTCAAAATATTATTAAGGTTACCTACCCCTCAGACAAAGATTTTCTTAGATATTTTATTTTTTATGATTTTGCGTCAGTAGGTCTTTATTATTTGAAAAAATCTACGTGGCTGTGTGATACACCTTTTGTTAATTTAACAAAAATTAAATATCGTAGAGTAAAATCAATCAACGGTGATAAAAAAGATACACGTTTAAAACATATTTTAATTATTACACAATTAAAACTAGATATAAACCTATAATTATGTGAAAAAAATTAGTTAGATGAAATCAAATGCTCAAAATTGTTCCTTTCCTGTTAACTGCATAAAATGATTGTCTTTTCAAAAGGATCATTTCATTTTAAAAGGCATATGTGGAGTTCTACCTCGAAAATGAACATCTATGAGAGACAAACAGAAAATTATTTTACTTTGTTTTTTCCACAAAATTATTACTCTTGGAAGACCTATAATTATGTGAAAAAAAAATATTTGTTCAGAAAAATATCATTTCGTACCGATGTGCATAATATTGATATTAGATACAAAGGACTAATTAGTCCCCCTCAGGGCACAGAACGGCTATGTATGAGCGCAGCTTTAAGTTTACTATTTATAAATTATATAATCCTCTATCACCTCGTTTCAAACAGTTAAATAGTAGTTCTTTTAAGAAAGCTATTACAAAGGAATTTCTGAATCTCTTTGTCTTTACGAATTCTTATTGTCTTGAAAATAGTTCTTTTTACTTATTTAAAATAAAAATGGTATAATATGTATGTCTCTGATGCTTTGGCTGGCCCCCAATGTAACCGATTTTTTTGTGTTAATATAAAATCTAGTGTTTAAGAAATTACTTATATTTTTTTATTATTTGTCAAGGGTTATTGGTCAGGGGTCAGTTGTCAAGGGCCGTATGGTGAACTTCCCCTTGAGGTTTCTGAGATTGTTAGTAGGAATGAGCGTGTTTATTTTTTTATACTTTTTTTATTGATTTGTATTATTTTTATATACATAGAAGTAAACAGTAAGAAACTCTTTTGAATAGATGTTTGTTACATATTTTCAAAGTGTCACAAAGACGCCCAACAACATAATCATTAATGTTATTCCAAAACACAAAAAAAAGAGAAAAACTTGCCGGAGTTACTTTAATAAAGAAAACAAACTTTAATTTCAAATAAAATTTCCGGCAGTTCTGTGCTACAAATATTCAGTGTAAACAACTATTCTGATTATGCCCGGAACGGAAAATACAGCCAGCTATTATTCAAAAGCAACTTTGAAAAAGGCAAAGCCCAAGCGAAAGTTAGATCGGTCGACGCTGCAAAGAAAAGGAGGAAAAAGTTTTCAGGAACAAAGTAAGCCTAGGAAAGAATGCTTGTTTGTTACACAGCTAAAAGTATAAAAGTTGCCATAAAAATATCTTGTAGTTTTATGAAGATGAATCTTTTTTTTTTCTGTCTTTGGTCATATTTTTTTTGTAGTGTGTCAGAAAATTGATGGGGACGATTTCAAAATACTGTTAAACAGGAAGTAACAAACGAAGATGAACAATATGAAAAAGCCATGTAAAAGTACCGGGTGAGTCAACGATAGAGTAAAGTCCATTGTCTCATTTGTTTCGGGGTTTAAAAAATATTGATAAATATAAAAGTTATAGGGAAAGGTAGGATACATATCTGAAAATTATTACCGAGTTTACAGAGTGCTTCAAAAATGTGTGGCAGATATAACATATGTTTCTTTTAAATGCAACACCATATTTTTTTATGCTATTTTTAGAGTCTGCATAAAATTCTATAACTTTTTTTATATATTATGTTATATACCTAAAGTTAATTGTTTTTGTAGTATTTGAATTTGTTTAAAAAAATGTTACATTTCAGTGTTGTAAAAAATTGTCAGTGATGCCATTGTCTATGAAGTTAGACTACTAAAATTTGGTAGGAGAGTTTTATAGAGACGAAGAAAAAGATATTTTAGGTAGCAACTTTAACAACTAGTTATAATTTTGTGTCAGTTAAAACAAAAAAAAAATTCTCAGAAATTTGCAGAAAATGCAAACTTATCCTACATCAGAGAGAATTGATACGATTCTATTAGTTGGCGAATGAGGTGTACATTCACCAATTAATAGAATACTTAAATGCCCCTGATTTTATTTAGTCTGGGTTTTTTTATGGGGATATGTGAAAGACAGTGTTTACAAAACGCGACCAACTATTGTCGACAACATGAGAGAAATTATTGTCGCTGCTTTTAATAATAATAATAATGCCTTTATTTCACAGATTGTCAAAGATTACAATAGAAAATAATATTTATAAACAAGAGATATGATATATGCTCTTTGAATTCGGTCCCTTTAAACCGGTGATTTAAAGGGACCGAAAGCATCCTTGTTGTGCTAGTCCAGGTTCACAATAATAAATGATACACTCACGAAATAAGCAATAACAATATATTTATTAACAAACAATAATATTCAAAACAATGTCAAATACATACTAACTAACTTATCTACACAAATATTCATCGCCCGCTGCCCGGCCGATCGATAATTCATATCGCAGCAAAAACATATAAACAAAATAAACAATTTTTTATTTTCGGGCATCAGCCGGTTGCCACATCCCTCCTTTTCTCACCAGAACAAGTGGAGTCACACGGGGTGCGTTCGAGTCCTCTTTTCGGGTTGGCCTCCATCCGGGGGCGGCTCTGATGTGGTCGTATCTTCTGAAGTCGGTTGGGTTGGTGGAAGTGTTGAACTCGATGTTGAGGGGACCGGAGGAGCTTCGGGTAGATCTACGGTAGGTGAGGTGTCCGGTATCCTTTTTACGTGGGCAACATTTCGCTTGATCGTCTTTCTATCCCCGAATAGGGTTAGCTCATTCCCATTTCGATGTAGAACATTATATTCTATGTTACTAAAGTTCGCTGTCAGTTTATGTGGAAAGAAAATATACTATACCACGACTTTGTCTCCTGGTTTAATTTTCTTTTCATTTGCTCTTCTTCTGCTATCTTCTCTTCTTTTTCCTTTATCTTTTTGAACTAGGTCTTGGTCATAAACTTCTTCGTCCAACGTTTCTATATTTATATCTTCTAGGCATGGAATGTTGTCCTTTATTCTTCTGTTAAATAAAAGTTCTGACGGGGACTTTCCTGTTGTTCCATGAGGTGTAACATTATACATCGTAATATAGTCCATAATCTGCCTTTGATAATCGCGCTCATTGTTCAGGTAACTGATTTGTAGCCGTTTCTTTAGTGATTTATTTATAGTTTCCACTTCCCCATTTGCCTGCGGCCAATAAGGAGGAGAATTCACTATCTCAATGCCATTTATTTCGCAGAATTTTTTGAATTCTTCACTATTGAAATTAGTAGCGTTGTCTACTTTAATAGTTTTTGGTAGACCAAATCGACAGAAGGTCGTTTCAAGTGCTCTAATGACCGTTGACGATGTGGTTGATTTTGTAAAAATTGGTTCTACATAACGGGAATAATAATCGATTATTACCAGTAGGTTATCTTGATTTGGGTCTCCCGACATATAATCAATTGCCAAGTATTGCCATGGTCCTGAAGGAAGCATTTGTCTTACCATTGGTGAAGGTCTGCTCGGTTTTGATACAAGTAGGCACTCGCGACAGCTTTTAACGTATTTTTCCGCCTCCTTGTCTATCTGTGGCCACCAGACTTTTGAACGTAATCTTCGATTCATCACCGATGCTCTGGGGTGGCCCTCATGTGCTAGCCTCAACACTTGAATTCGCAGATTTCTCGGGATTACTATTTTATTTCCTCTTAGTAGTAGTGGTCCCATGGAAGTGAGCTCCATTCGAAAGGAGTAGTACGCGCTTTTGTCATTTAGGTTCCATGAATTGCCTGCCAATTTCTCGATAACTTCTGGGATCTCTGGGTCAACTTTGCTGTTTATAATTACCTGAGATATTGATAATGCTTAGGGTATACTTTCTGTTATAATAGATTGAATCTGACATTCGTTCGGCGCATTAAAAGTTGGATCCGATTCTAATTTGCATAACCTCGACAAGGGGTCCGCGATGTTTTATTTTCCACATTTATATTTTACAGTAAATTTAAAAGCTTGGAGTCTAAGTAACCATCTCTCAATCCTTGCGGGTGGTCTTGAAGTTGGTTTAAAAATCGCTTCAAGTGGTTTGTGATCTGTGATCAACTCAAATTGTATTCCAGCGAGGTAGTAATAAAATCTTTCGACAGACCAAACCAATGCCAGACTCTTCTTTTCAGTTTGAGAGTATCTCCGTTCAAGAGCGGTGAGGCTTTTACTTGCAAATGAGATTACATGCGGTTGATCGTCACAATCAATCTGTAGCAGCACAGCGCCCAGGGCCACTGGGCTGGCGTCGGCAATCAATTGCGTGCGTAATTTCATATCAAAGAAGGACAGAGTCGGCAAATTCACCAGTTCATTTTTTAATTTTTGAAAAGTTTCTTGTTCTATTTGTCCCCAATTGAATTTTGTTTCATTTCTTATTAATAGTCTTAGTGGTTCGGTCAGGGTTCCCAGATTAGGTATAAATTTTTGTAACCATGCCAAGAAAACTCCTTACTTCTCCTTTATTTAACGGTGCACTAAAGTTACGAATAACTTTAATCTTCTTTGGGTCCTGTAATATTCTGATAGATGTTAGAATATGTCCTAAAAATTCCAATTGTTTAATCTTATACTGGCACTTTTTTTCGTTTAACAAGATGTTATGATTTCGTAGTACCGTCAGTAAGTTATTCAAATATCGGTCATGATCAGCTTCAGTTTCTCCATAAACAACTATGTCATCGAGGTAGTTGAGACAACTCTGACAAGGAGCCAAAATACCTTGAAATATACGCTGAAATATTTCTGGAGCGGAATTTATGCTAAACATTAGCCGCTTGTACCTAAATAATCCTTTATGTTTTATAAAAGTAGTAATTGGTCGACTGTTTTCTTCCAATTCTAGTTGAGGATATGCACTCGCTAGATCCAAGCGTGAAAAGTAAGTGGCCCCACTCAGTTTAGTCATGAAGCTCTCAAAAGTGGGAAGTGGAAAATTCTCTCTAAGTATAGCTTCATTGGCTCTCCTCATGTCGATGCAAATACGAATATCATCATCTGGTTTAAAGAATATGACCATGGGAGAAATCCAAGGGCTTGGTCCTTGTACGGGCTCTATGATATCTCTGGCAAGTGCTTCATTCAGCTTCTGTTCCACTTTTTCTTCAACGGCAATTGGAATTCTACGCACTGGTTGTTGTATTGGTTTTATATTTGGATTGATGGTGAGTTTTATTTTAATATTAGCAACTTTTGGAAAAGGCTCGATTTTTCCAATATGATTAATATTGGAGTCTAGTCCCAACTTTAAAACCCCTAAGGTTATCGATGTGCGTCTTCCCAGCAGTGAGGTTGTACCAGTGAGGTTCTACCACCATAAATGTTTCAATACGCTCATGACTATTGCCCACGCGTTTTGGAGCTTTGAATTGGCATTTTACAATAAGCGGAGTATTTGCAGCATACGCTTTTATCGTATTAGTTATATCTTCTTGGATGTCAAGTATTGCAGCTCCATTTCCGAGTAGTTTTTCCCAATCACGTCCATTTGTAATGTTGCACGAGGCTCCGGAATCAATTAAGATATCAATACTGACACCTCCAATTATCACCGAGATTATTCCATTGCTGCTGTCCAATCCAAGTAGGGTTGAACTCGTAACTTCGAAACATTCATAGTTGCCGATACCACTAGTAGAAGGGAGACTTTCGTTATTGGATTCGTCGATGCAATTAATTCTTCTTGTCTTCGGCGGATTGGGGTGGCAGGTAGTGTTTTGAACGAATGTACGTTTAAGTTTTCCTGTCCTACATCTTCTAGCAAAATGTCCTAAACGACCACATTGATGACATGTAGTATTAATGGCAGGGCAATTTTTCTTGTCTAAGCTGTGGATTCCACCACAGCGTGTGCGCTCATGACTTTTTGTAATTTCCCAGTGTTTGCGCTTCCGTGAATCTTCAATTCGATTAACTTGAGCCTCGCTAGTGGAGTTCTTGTTCACTGTTACCAAAATAACATTTATCGGCCTGTGGTCTACATCTTATAAGGTATCTATTTAAATTTTCTCCATCTACGGGTTTCATGTTACGAAATACGTGTCTCTCAAAGCAAGGGGTTTGTTGAGGCGAAAAACGGTCATTAAGTCTATCCACCAATGCTTTAAATATATCGTTTTTAATAGTGGGGTCATATTCTGTAACCGCGCCTGGTAAGCCAAAGGCAATTTCCTGCAATTGCGGACCTCCAAGATGTAATAATTTATTTTTCATTTTCACAACATCTGTAATTTCTTCTGCATCTAAATATAACTTTACTGAACGAATCCATTTTCTCCATTCAAGAGCTATTAGAGCTTTGTCTATAGACTCACAAGCGAAATGTTTAATAGACGACTGATCCATTGCACTTTTTGTCGAGGATATCTAGGAATAAAATTTATTCTATTGTAGTATTTTCAATAACATATAATCATCGTATTCATTTTTTTTATGGTGTCATTGATGACGCACGGGTATTTTCAAAACGCGACAACAGTTCCCCCCAACAACCCAAGAAACATTGATCATCATAATATGAAAGTGCGACCATGACCATGCATTAGATTTTCTCCGGAAACATACCACTTTAATGTCACAAGGCTTTGAAATTTGCCAGATTACTAAATCTTCATAATGTAAAATTAAAACAAAATGTGTATAAATACATATATTTTTTTTTTGAAAAATATTGAAAACTTTATGCACCAAATATATCATATTTTTATAATGTAATAAATTGCTTTAACCCCTAGCTAATTTTTTTAGAAATAATAGCTTTTGAAATTTCCATTTTTTTATGACATTAAAGCGTTATGAACCAACTAACTATTGTAAATTACTTTGTTTCACTTACAATGCTTATATTAGTCTCAATAATCAGCTTTCCTTCAGTAGAATTTAATCCACTCCTTTAGTAGAATCTAATCCACTCCTCTAGTAGAATCTAATCCACTCCTCTAGTAGATCTAATTTACTCCTTTAGTAGAATTTAATCCACTCTTGTAGTAGAATTGAATCCACTCCTGTTTAGTAGAATTTAATCCACTCCTATTTTAGTAGAATTTAATCCACTCCGTTATTTGGTAGTATTAGGTCTGTTTATATCTAAAATTACAGCACTCTTAATACTTTATACTTTTACTTGTGCATTTTATTTTAAATAGGCACTATTTACCTATGTATTTACTACGTGATTATTTATTGTTAAGTATTTACCTCGTCGCCAATTTGTGCTAGTCCAGGTTCACAACAATAAATTATACACTCACGAAATAAGCAATAACAATATATTTATTAACAAACAATAATATTAAAAACAACGTCAAATACATACTAACTAACTTATCTACACAAATACTTATCGCCCGCTACCCGGCCGATCGATAATTCATATCGCAGCAAAGACATATAAACAAAATAAACAATTTTTTTATTTTCGGGCATCAGCCGGTTGCCACACTTGTTTAATTTAGTTTCTCCGTCTTACTGAAAAATCTGAAATAACAATCTGTGGCAACGTGATAGACTCTCAAGAGTCCGTTTCACTAGTCCGAAAAAGTAGCAAAATAAGCGTTCGGCATTTAACTTTTTATGTAAAACTGGCTAGGTATTTTTACACAAAGATGAAGAAGGAAATTAAAGATAAAGGATTATAATATATCCGTATTGTAGCACATTTTTAGACAACTTCTTTATTTTTAAGATTTTCATGGTCAAACATCAACAGAATATGCCTTATGTTTGGATTAAATTTTCTCGAAAATAAAGACATAATTTAAAATTCCGTTACAATACGGAAATAGATTGAAGTTTTATGATTACAGTTATATATAATTTATATGGTTTTATAACAAATTGTTACAAAAAAAATGTTAAAGCTCTGCAAACCCTAATCAAGCCTTAATCAAAGCACGTGTGTTTGGAATTTTGGGTGTGGCTTAACACGACAGGATCGGGCTAAGCCTTAGGCAGATTTCTGAAAAATAATATATATTTCCTCCGGCCGCACACCCGTTTTACCCGACCCCTGAGAGCGATCCGAACAGTACAGCGTAATAGACTCTTAAGGATAGCAAATCTTTTCTCGGTATAGTATTAAAAATAAATGCAACAGAATTCCGAAGTAATTCTTTGGTACAGAAAACGATTTATTCTTTGCAGGACAAATTTACTTTAGAATACCTACAAAATAAATGTTTCAAAATCCTTTTTGTAGACGGCATTCGGGATAAAACACGGAGTAAAAAAGTTTAAAAAGAACCTAATGGTCAATACTGGCCTCGATATTTGATTTTTGTCATTTATGTAGGCCGGCGCTCCGGCACAATATTTGTCTTCCTTTTACGCGTACGCATAGTAAAGTAGCCGGTTAAAAATTGATTAATTTGTTTGGGTAAAAGCGAACGGAGAGTGGGCAATTTCCGGGGCAAACATCGGAAACGGTTCGGCGTTTGCCAAAGGATAATAAGGCGCGGTTTGTTGATTCGAACAGTGGCGGAGTTCGGCGAGGGCGCAAGGCGCTGTTGCCAACTTAGCAGTTTTTCCGCTAGATCTAGCGTTTTTTTTTTGGTTTAGCGGAAAAAAAATAATTTAGCGGTTAGCCGTTTTTAGGCGGTTTAGATTTTTGATTAAGGTTTAGATTTTACATATAAAATGACGGCGATCTTCATTTTATAACCATCGCTGACGCCGTTTTTTTATCATATTGAGCAGAGGCCAACAATATTTATTCGGAGTTGCATGAAAACACGATTTTGTCTTTTAGTCCGACATTTAATGGTTTATAGTCGGTAATATTATTTTAACAAAAATATTAACCTGAAAATTAAATACCTTACAGATACTAACGTACCAAGCACAGTATAAATAATTTTTTTCTTGTAAATAACTTTCTTATCGTTTGCATTTTATGCCCATGATGTTTGTTTAGGGCAAGTCTAAATATTGGTGCTTGACTCTATACCTATATCACCGCCGCGCCGGCGCCGCCGCCATAGAAACGAACGATCGCATTGTGATGCGATTCAATTCTCACGATTATTTTTCACGGCTCATCGTTCAAATCTTATGGATCCATGCTGGCCACGATTCAATTGAACGAACCGTATTGTAAGCAATGATTCGACTCTCACGACTCTTTGAATGAACGATCCGTAGAAACAAACGATCGCATTGTGATCCGATTCAATTCTCACGATTCTTTTTTACGGCTCATCGTTCAATTTTTATGAATTCGTGCTGGCCACGATTCAATTGAACGAACCGTATTGTAAGCAATGAATCAATTCTCACGACCCTTTGAACGCACGATCGCATTGTGATCCGATTCAATTCTCACGATTCTTTTTTGCGGCTCATCGTTCAATTTTTATGGATCCGTGCTGGCCACTGTTCAATTGAACGAACCGTATTGTAAGCAATGAATCAATTCTCACGACTCTTTGAACGCACGATCGCATTGTGATTCGATTCAATTCTCACGATTCTTTTTTGCGGCTCATCGTTCAATTTTTATGGATCCGTGCTGGCCACGATTCAATTGAACGAACCGTATTGTAAGCAATGAATCAATTCTCACGACCCTTTGAACGCACGATCGCATTGTGATCCGATTCAATTCTCACGATTCTTTTTTACGGCTGATCGTTCAATTTTTATGGATCCGTGCTGGCCACGATTCAATTGAACGAACCGTATTGTAAGCAATGAATCAATTCTCACGACTCTTTGAACGCACGATCGCATTGTGATCCGATTCAATTCTCACGATTCTTTTTTGCGGCTCATCGTTCAATTTTTATGGAGCCGTACTGGCCACGATTCAATTGAACGAACCGTATTGTAAGCAATGATTCCACTCTCACGACTCTTTGGGGCAACGGCCTAGCTACGTCGAACATCGGTTCCCATTAGAACACCGAAGTTAAGCGACGTAAGGCGATACTAGTGGATGAACGGGTGACCGGTGTATCGTGCTGTTAAAAAAAGACAAAAATGTAAAATCTATTGACACACACTGCTCATTCACGCCGGTTCGAGGCCGGATGAGATCGGATATTTCGTGAGTAAGAGTCGATTGAGACACTTGCCAAGTCGGTAGGCCATTGACCATGATATAGCCGAGGACCGCGGTTCGGATTCCGCGTAAACAAAGTAGGCCCTGTCCAGATTAGCCCTGGCAGCGAAAAGGAGACGTTAACTGAAATCTTTACTTTTCACGACTCTTTGCATGAACGATCCGTAGAAACAAACGATCGCATTGTGATCAGATTCAATTCTCGCGATTCTTTTTTACGGCTCATCGTTCAAACCTTATAGATCCATGCTGGCCACGATTCAATTGAACGAACAGTATTCTAAGCAGTTAATCGAATCTCACGATTCATTTTTAATACTCGTTCAAATGAACGACTCGTCTTTGCCCACACCTCTAATACAACCTATCAAAATATAGTAGATCACACAATCCCGCCGTTGCTGGATCATATTTCATTATGCGCTTTCCTAGACAAGATCTTAGAATAGCGTTTTTCAATATTTTATTCATTTTCCATCACCAGACATCATTAATAACGTCGGTCCTTGGTACAGCGGCGTGTCGTTCCCGACGAGAGAAAACAAACCGCTTCGATTTAAATAATTTAAAGCGCGCTCCCGGAAACAGAAAATTTATCAACTTTACGTGTCGTAATACGGTGGAAATAAGCCCCTTTTTGCCCTAATCAGCTCCGACACATCGTTATTTCTCTTGGCTATTCCGAAAACAATACCGGAATTGTTTTTTGAAAGTTCGCCCTTGTAATTTCTTAAAATATTACTTCAAATTTTATTGTAGGTGATTTATTATAGATAGATGGAAAAACTAATTGTATATTCTCGTAGTCATTTTATCAGAGTTATCTGATAGTATTTTTAGATATTAGTATTTTAATAAAACACGCTTTTAGAAGTTTAAAAAAAAAACTACAGAATTTCGTCTCTTGAAAGTACAATAATATTGCAACATAGGTATTAGATTAAATTTACAAGAAAGAAAATCCAGAAAAGATCCAGTGGTTCTCAAAATTTTAGCAAAAAATATATTTTTTTAAATTTTCAAAGTAAAATAACTCCGTTATTTTGGACTTATTTGAAAAACGATAAAGAGAAAATATGTTTCTTTTATCGAGATCTACAATTCCTTAAAATACTTGCACTTATTTCTAGAACACCCTGTATATATATCAGTCGGTTCATAACGTTCTACGACGTTTTCCGACACCTAACCTCCATTCTTCTCTATTTAGCCGGAGATCATCAGGTATTTCTCTATTTTCTAGTTCTTTATCCACACCCCCCTCCAGCTTCGTCGCGGCCTTCCACTT